TCAGATGAGCAGTGATTAGAAACTGGGCAGAGTTGGACAGGTGAATGGAATGAATAATTAAGCCAGCGCCAACATCTTGACATTTCAGCTGCAACATTCAGACGGTAGCATACTGAAAAAATGGTTCCATCCTTCTAAACCCACTTTGGACCAATTTTTACCAATTGACCATGCTTTAACTAACCCTATCCTTTCCTTTATGGCCACAATTTACCTATCAATTAAAGGCTCCCTCCAGCAGAAAATGTGTTTTAAACATGACAGTTTACTATTACATTCACCAGATCTCAATGCAACTTAGCACCCTAGGCATGTGGTGGAACAAGAGAATTGCATCATGGATGTGCAGCTAACAAATCTTTTGCATGTGTTCGATGCTATTATGTCAACTTGGACCAAAATCTGAGGATTTCTTTTAGTAAAACTTGTTGAATCGATGTCAGGAAGAATAAAGTCAGCACTAAAGGCAAAATATTAAATCTATAAAAAACATAAAACTGTTTTGAGATGGGCTTTAAAATATCTTTAAGACTTTAAAAAACATATTTTTCTATGTTGGTAATAGTGTGTATCATATACAGCTGGAGTAGTGAAACTGGAGCTCTCTATTTTAAAGCTGAGCTCATTTCTTCCAATAATAAAATGCACCTTTTGCAAAGCCATTCCATGTCCAACTAGGTTTGGTACAAATACAGATCAGACCACTGTGATTACTGCTGAAGTTATAAGCAGTTTCAACCTCCTGCTCTGCTTTAAAATCCCACTGGGTATTGAATTGACTCTCTAAGATTTTCTTTTTTTTACCATTTAACAACTAAAGTGAAAAGTTTCTTTAATGGTCTGAGCTAATTAAACAATGCCGTGGGGAGCAATCTAATTTAATTCTTCTTTTACAACTCAAGCTGAGGCCTTTTCTTTACTAAAGAGTAAAATTTGGTTGGATTCTTTGAATTCCCAGACATATCCACACTATACCTGTTGTTATTCAAAAATGTTTCACCATGCACCTACTCCTTTATGATTTATGTCTCTGAACTTAGAACGAATCGCTCCATAGTTTCTGAATTCCACTGGTGGTAAAGTAGCCAAGTGGGTTTCAGCAATGTGGTCCCCATTAAATTCATAGTCACTCTATCAAATGATAAATCAATCAAAACTATACTGAATTCCTGCATGGATACAACCCCTGTGACATCCACCCCCACAAACACCGGTGTGCAGCTTAATCCAGCTGTGGCGACCGGCTCTTCATGAAGGCTTGGAGGTAAACAGCCCAGTCACCTATTTTTTTTTTTTTTTCTTTTTGTAATAAATACATTAAAAAACTTTGGAACCTTATTTTCCTGGCATTTTCATGTTGTGTTTGGGCTCTGAATGCATTTTTATATACATAAATTAAATTTGTCTGTAGGCATTAAATGGACGAATAAAATATACCGTGATATAAATCTAGCTTTATTGGAAAACAGTAAAAATTTTCAATATAGCAGGTCTGTCTTTGCTGCTCTTCTTTCCAAGAGAAGCATCATGTAAAATTATTGTAGACATGATGGGATAAAAGCTGTTCATTAAGTGATATCAACTTGATTATAGCGCCATCACCTGTATAGAAAATACTTAACGCCTACATAAAATCATATTGTCCCTGTTTTTTTGTATTTCCAATATTAAGTCTAAAATGATCCATTCAGCATCTTTTATGATGTTTGGCCCCACTGGCAAAAATGTGTCAAATTTGAGTCTTTTATTTACAAGGTGAAACAAATTCGTAAAGTTTTTCTTAAAAAATTATAGTTGCCACACTCACAACCACTTCTAACACTTCGTTGTTGTTTTTTTAACAGAAGTTTCTTTCTTTGGGTGGATCTAGTTTCAAGAGAGTTTAAGTTAATAATCCACAAACAAATGTTTCACCAGGACATAAATATGACCATTTTATTTTATGTATTGACTATAAGAATAAAATCAGAATAAGACTTATTTCCAAGTAGGTTTGCAATTATGAGGAATTTGACTTGCTATTGATAGTGTAGACAAATTATATATGTGAAGAAACTGTTCTTGTGGTGTGATGTTTTGGTCCTGATGGACCACAGCCTGGAATAGTTTGGTTCAAGGGATCAGCCACAATCTTCCCTGCATGCCTCAGAGTCCTGGAGGTGTACAGATCCTGGAGAGATTAAAGATTGCAGCCAATCACCTTCTCTGCAGAACGGTTGACACGCTGCATTCTGCCCTTGTCCTTGGTGGTGGCACCAGCATACCAGAAGGTGATGGAGGATGTGAGGATGGACAAATTTGATGGAGGAGTAGATCTGTATCATCATTGCCCTTGACAGGTTGATTTTTTTTCAGATACCACAGGAAGTACATCCTTTGCTGGGCTTTCTTGGGGAGGGAGTTGATGTTCAGCTCCCACTTTAGGTCCTGTGAGATGATAAAGCTGGTAGAGGACCTAAATTTAGGTCCATTTCAGAAAGCACGATGGTAAATAGATATAAAACAAAATGTCTTTAAAGCACATAGGCATAGGGTCATCATAGGGGTAACTACTCACAGTTAATGCATGGTTTCCTGCCATTTTTGTTAAGTGTTTTTTTGCTCAAACAAAAGTGATCAGTTGATTAAAATTCTGAATGTGCTCCTTTACATGGCATTAGATTCTACAGGAATATGGTAATCACCCATTCATTTAATTTGGGTGTGATAGAGACTAACCTCTGATCATCTCTGCCTTACACGGTTCTACCATTGCAAATGTGTATATGGAGTTTGCTAACTCAACTTTGCTAACTTTGCTTCAGTAGTGTTGTTTTCAGTTTACAAAAAGACATGTAAAGGACAGTGTAAGCATGTGAAAGAAGGCACTCTGGTTGGATGAGACCAAAACTGAATTTTTTGTTATACAAGCAAACCACTATTAAGGCAGAAAACTCTACAACACCCTATATTCCTTCAACAGAGACAGGATAACTGATCTGGGTTGATAGCAAGATTGATGGATCTAAATGCAGAGCAAGAGTCAGCAAAAAACCTAGGCAGGAGAATTACCTTCCTGCAACAACAAAAAAAACACTTAGTATCTGGCCAAAATGGTTTCTTTTATAATTGCTTTTAAGATTTTAAATTTTTTATGACATTTTGCACAAATACATTCCTAAAAGAACACTGAGATCTGAGAACCAAATGCCTTTAGTTGTTCTGAGGACTCAGCTGGTGATGACGAGCTCTTTATTGTACAGCTCCTAATTCTAAATACATCTTTTACTATCTGAAGTCTGCCAGAACCTACAGTGAGTTTGCATAACTACTAAAACTTAACTTTTTACATTTCCTTTTAATTGTTAGAGCCCTTAGCTTTAGGCCAGCATTTCTATGACAATATTTTATTTTGCTCTTATTGTTTTATGCATAAAAAATTATAACAGCCTGTTTTATTGAGACTGACTATTTTATCATCTTATTTTACATGTACAGAACTTAAATCAATATATTTCATGTAATAATAAATATTGTGATGTCTGACAGCTTAACGCTAAATACAGGTCTGCCCCAAGGGTGCATCTTATCTCCCTTGTTATTCAGTTATGACACCGAAAACGTAACATTGATCAAATAGGCCGACGACATGGCATTGATCGCACGTCTCACCAAAGCCCATTCGATGGCCCTCTATGAAAACGCAACAATCGATCTCAGGACATGGTTTCAGAACAGCAATCTCCAGTTAAATGTAAATAAAACTAAAGAAATGTGCCTCAGTAGCCAACAGACACTGGGGCTTTCAAATCTCCTGGTTAAAACACTTCAATTAAACAGACAGAACTTAGAGCAAGTGAACTCATTCAAATACTCAGGCATCGTTTTGAGCAAATGCTACATTCAATACGTACATTTAATGCACGTATTGACTGTGTTTACAAGAAAGCAAAGGCTGTTCCTGCTGCACCAGCTGAGGGGTTTTAAAGTCAGTGACCACATCCTATTGAAGGTTTACCAGTGTCAGTTTTACATTTTTTACATTTAACTGCCTAAAACAAAGCTAAGCTTTTTAGAGTTGTTAAACAGGGCAGTAAGATTACAGGCCAACAACAAGTCAATTTGTCTCAGAATTACAGTAAATGCATCGGGTCAGTTGTAAGTTCACAGATGACGATAGCCATCCACTCTCCCATCACTTTCAGCTCCTTCCATCATGACAGAGATACAGACAGAATTCCTTTGTGCCCTCTGCCATCAAGGAGCTGAACAAGTCGTCACCCAAATGTCACTTGGTCTGTTCTGCCTCCTTTCCCTTGAAGAAGTGAATCTCCTGCTGCTGTGTCTGTAATGAACTATTTATAATTGTATTTTAGTTTATTTTATTACATTGTTTTATATGAGCTAGCCAAAGGCAAATTTCTGCCATCATTCTGTATAATGGACAATAAAATGTTTCTATTCTATTCCATAGCGCCTCATACATTGATTACTGATTCATTGACTGATTTAATTGATACGCATTTTAAGTGTCACAATGGTCTATCAAACTCTAGAATAAATACAAGAAAAATGTTTAATAAGATAAAATAAAGCTAATTCAGACAATTTGATTGAGTTTTACCTACTTTCTAAACAAGAAGGGGTACGTATGAGAGCTTCCACATGTGCAAAGAAAGTAAATATGTTTTATTTTGTTTTAGAAAAGAAAAATAAATACAAATGGCTTTTATACAGCTTTTTTTATAACAACAATGCTCCTTCTTATTCTTAGACTTAGACAGATTTATTTTGTCATTTTGTATACACAAGTGTAAACAATTGTTTTTTTCATTTAATTAATTTATTTTAATTTCATTTAATTTAATTAATTTTATTATTTTTTTATTAATTTATTCTGCAGTTGGATTTACATTTCCTGATCTGTGAGATATAAACCTTGCAAAATGAATAGTTATGTAAAGACCAAACGTGTAAAGGTGAGCGGACGCTCAGCAGGATGTGTTGTCCCCCCATCATAGAAGCGGAGCTCTGCCGCCACCTTGCGGTCACAGGCCATCACTGACTGTTTCCTGAAACTGAAGATGGCGACGGGAGTCCTTCAGAGAGTCCGTGGAGGATTTACCCCGGCTAAAAGCAGGGCTCTGTCAGCCGGAAACCTTTCGCTTTGGGCCAGGTGAGCAGTCAGTCACCTGAATGCCATGTTGTCACGTTTAACTCGACTTATTGCGGCTGTTGTGTATTAAAATTAGGGTGTTTTTTATTTTCTCCGTGCTACCATTAGCCTAGCAATGCTAACCCGTTTACTGTTAGAAAGCCGGGTTTGGCCTTCAGTTACTCCGAAGCTGCATCTCCTGCATTTAATCAAAGACCAGTGTTATTAAAATGTGCGTCTTTTGGTTGGCAGAAGTGAAAAAACAGCCCTCTCTGTCAGATTTTGTCTTAGCTTCTATGTAATGCTCAAGGTCAGCTTGTTACTTCTTCTTTAGCTTCATTAAAAAAATACCTCCATACTGTTTATTTCTCTCAGAAAGTGGGCTTGGTTATTTTACTTGCATATAGTAATGCCAAGATCAATATATCATGCATCCCTAGTATGGACACTACCTCAACTCAATCCATCCATCCATGCATGGCTTCCCTTTAAGCTGCATCACTGATTATCCTCCTTCACAAGCAGCAAAATTAAATCTAGAAATTTGTCCCATATATTATTGACAGCCAAGGTCTATGTATTGAACCTTATATTTCAAAAGTCATTTATAAACAGATTTTTTATTATTGGTGCTAATAAAATTATTTGTGTAATATTCTTGCAGGTTTCTTATATTTTAATGTTAAGTCTGTGTCCTGTGAGTCTGGCTGTCTCTGAGTTGCTAGTGCAGCTATATATCACTCTTGAACTACAAAAGACAAAAAGATATGTTGAATTTTATTATAGCATTGCTCCTTATTTCTTGTAAATTTGGGGATACATTTTATTGCATATTGCAGTAAATCTGTTTCACCTTTAAATCTGCAGCTCTCCCTAATGGTGTCTCTGCTCTGCTTAAAAACAGATTTATGAACCTGTCTACCAATCTAATGATGACTGAGAAAATCATTTTCAGGATCTCTAGAAGCTCTGCAGTCTGATTCTCTGTTCAGTAATAAAACAACAGATATGTCTTCATTTTAATCTGTAACTGTGAGTAATGGTCCTCTGAGAAGCCCAGCTTTTTTAAACGTAAATAAATGTACACCATTTTTAGCTGAAAAAGCTCTGTATGTGTAACAAACTGTTTTTTTCTGTGGCATCTCTAATTTTTTTTAACCAACAAGTTTAAATTGAACATATATCGAAGTAGCTGCTGGTTAAAATTTACTGAGTGCTGTGTGTCTCTCCTCCTCCACGTAGCTACTCTGTTAGCAGTGAATGGCGACTCCAAAAATGATTATGTCCCAAAGCGACATATCCCATGGTATTTCAAGAGGTGGGACTCGAGAGCAGCGGAAGAGAAAAAGCACGGACTGAATACGCTCTGAAAAGTTGGCTGCACCCAACCCCAGTTACTGTTGGCTAAAGTATATCAGTGAAAAGGGGGAAAAAAGCCGAAATTATTAGTGGGGATTGTCCCCTCCATGCCAAAGTTGGTGGGGACATGTCCACACCAGTCCTTCAGAAAGTTATGCCACTGTACCAGTGTCACTATACGTTTTGAGCTGTGTCAGTTCCCTACAGCCTTCTCACTTCCCTTGGGCGCTTTCAGGCCACCAAGTAGAAGTTATCCATCATTATCCCTCCTGTGTGTTTTTTGTTTAGAGGGTTTTCAACATCCAGCAGAAACAAGGAGGACAGCTGGTTCAAGTCTCTGTTCGTCAGGAAGGTTGATCCCAGAAAAGATGCACACTCCACCCTACTGACCAAAAATGAGGAAAGCAACCTCTACAAAATTCAGTGTAAGTTACCATGAGAATGTTGGCTATTTGAATATTAGATTCTTCTAAAAATGATAACAACAACAATAATAAAACGCCTGTCTTTTTCAGTCCATAATGTGAAGCCAGAGTGCCTGGATGCTTACAATAAATTATGGTAAGTGTGACTGTGACCTATAAAGTGATGAAGGAAACCAAAGAGAATTTACCTGTCTATATTAAATAATTACAATTAAACAAACTGCCTTGCAAAGCTATTTACCGCCTCTATCTTTAAGGCTATTAACCTGCCCTGCTTAGAAAATATCCAAAGCTCAGATTGGTTTTCATTTCTGCCCCAGATTCCATCAAGGTGAAGTCGACCATTAAACAGATGCCATTGCTTTGATTTTACAGTGTTTGGGATTCTTTCTTCTCTAAGGAAAACTGCTGTCTAAAAATATTTTGCATCTTCAAGTATTAACATGTATCTAGCTTCACTTTATTTATTCTTACCAGCTTCCTTGTACTTAAACAGTGTGCTTATGGCCAACAGTGTGTAAAGCTATTTATGCATTCACTGAATGGCATATTGGTGGAGCACATTAGTGATGGTTGTCTTGTTTTTTCATTGTGGATCTCTGCAGCTCCCCTTAGGTGGACGGCTGTGCTTTTAGGTTTACAGTCACTCTCTTAATTCAGCAATGGATTTAACAGTTCTCTATAAAATGTTTAAAGCTTGGGGTGTTTTATTTGTATTAGTATGTATATTTTATTTGAAGAATCTGAGTGAAGGGGGGGATTACAAATGCACACAGTTCTTTTAAGGTATTTATTTGGGGGGGAAAAAGAACTTTTGAACCTTTTACTTCAAAGTCATAATTTGTCACTATTGTATTTTTCTGTTGCCTTAAATCTTAATTACTATAATAGATAAATAAATGGCAAAATGTGGGAATGCGGGACATTTGTACACCTTTGTGACTGCTGCTAGCATGTTCTTGTTATTAATTAAAATTAACCCCTTATTCTTTCATTTGGACTTTGACTCCCCCCTCTGGTGGTTAGGAAAAAAATCACAGAAAAGCTGCTCCTTATTAAAAGCTTCATGGTTAAAAGCGTGGAAAAAAAGTTGCAGCTTATTGTGCGGAAAATACGATATGTCCTTTTTAATATAAAAATTTAAAAGAAAAAAATATATTTGTAAGGAAAAATATCAGATTAGATTTCAAAGATTAGATTAGATTATATTTCAAAGCCATAATGCCCAGCTGAGATAGATTTTTGAAAGCAATATTGTTTATCCCGTCTACCATGGCTTCATGTGATTGTTGGTGTGGTTTGTCGTTGGTCACAGCGAGGATGTTTTGCCCTCCATCCATGCTGATAAGTACTACCCCTGTGAGCTGGTGGGAACCTGGAATACTTGGTATGGAGAACAAGACCAGGCTGGTAGGATTACTAATATCAACATACAAATCAGCAGTTTAGCAGGTCTGTGCAGCAGTGCATGGTTTTGAAATCAGCAGGCATGGTATACTGAATCTTCATCACTCATCTGAGGCAACGATCCTTTAGTTAAAACATCACTTTTTCACTTTTCAGATTTAGTTATTTATTTTTTTTGTCTTTGATGTTAGTCAAAAATCTAACCTTCTGTCTGCTGTACAATAACAATAAAGTTGAATATTTCTGCAGTTCATCTGTGGCGTTACAGAGGTGGATACCCCGCTCTGACTGAGGTCATGAACAAGCTCAGGCAGAATAAGGTGATCACTGTCTCCTGTGTCGCTCTTCCTTTACCACCCACTCCGTTAAGTCTTCAGTAAAGCTCATCGATCTGTGTCTGTTGGATGTCAGGAGTTCACGGCATACAGGAAGGAACGCGGGAAGATGCTGCTATCGCGCAGGAATCAGCTCCTGCTGGAGTTCAGCTTCTGGAATGAGCCTGTTCCCCGAGAAGGCCCCAACATCTACGAGCTCAGGTCTTACCAGCTCAGGGTGAGGAACGCCCCCAACACTCTGCACTTAGAGTAATCAATGCACAAGCTGTTCATGAAGATTAAACAATTTCCATTTATCACCTACTTTCATGCAAATGTCACGTTTAAATACCTATGCTTCAACTCATTAAGTATATCAAAGATTGTTTTCAAAAATGAATAAAGCTTGTGTGAAAAGTAAAGAGCTTTTTATCCACCAAAGCCATGTATCCTATTGGAGGCTTTATATCATGTATATTTAAGGCTTTTAGTTACTAAAATGAGCCATTCCTCTTTTTATTTTTTACAAGCAAGAATGTGTTACACTTTGTAAGGATTTTATTTAGGTCACATGGGGTTAAAAAAATGTGAATGTTTGAAATACAAACATACACTACATACACTTTTAATGTCCTTCAGCAAATGCTGAGCATTTTTATTTATTTATGTTTTTACACTATTAATATTCTTGATTACTGCGATATTTGACCTTTATTCCTTTCAGAATTGATTGTATTTTAACAAATAAACTAACAAATATCCAGATTCTTAAACATAGTTCACTTGTTTTTGGTAACAGCCTCCATTTTATGCTTCTTCCTCGTTCAAAACTTTCTCAGTCCACACTGATGTTACACTTGCTTCACGAGGAGAGGGGCTGTGCTTTTAGTAGTTTATAGTTCATGGCACGCAAATTGTATTTTTAAGATCCCAACTGGCTTCCTTTCATTAGATGGAGATAGTTTGAGTCGGATACAATCTGGTAATAGAACGGCAAAAGCTTTTACCATGGCTTTACATTTCTGTTCAAAGATTACTGATGCTTTAAAGCCAGGTCTGTGGAAAATTAGCGATTTTTAAATTGGCTTTACTGAATCCGTTTAGGAGAAGGGTTAAATATTCATAAAAATTATAGCAGAAGCTGCAGAGCAATGACTAAATGTAAATATTTAAGCCTGTAAGTTTGAGTTTAAATTCTCTGTGATTTGTGAAATCTCAATAAATTCCTGCCAGAAAGGCAAATTGTGAAGGGACATATTGTATGTAAACTTCTGACTTGCTGTAGATGGAATGTTTCAAAGCCTTTGCAGATATTCAGACTCTGACGTCTTTTATACCTGTCTTTTCTAATGAAATCAGATCATTGCCCTCATATTGAACGCCATTTCATTCAACCAAAACAGAAAAAGGAAGAACATACCTGATATGTATATTTTTTAAGTATTTGAATATTTCAGCTTTTCCAAACTGTTGAGTGTTTGATTGTGCCTGTTTATTTAAACAAACATAGATCTGAGCCAGACTAAGCCATTTTCTGCAGATTGAGTCGTTCTTTCTAATCTGAAAAGGTCGGATCTACATTTGATAAATGCAAGCCATTATCCATTGTCTTAAAGTTTATCTGACATTTGTGTCTAAACCTCAGATGATTGAAGAAGCCTTCGTGTCTTGTTATTCTTGCATCTAAATGCATTTCATCTGGAAATAAGAACATGATTTATTGCAATAAGGAATGTTGTGTTTTTCCTTTTCTCCTCCTGCAGCCAGGAACCATGATCGAATGGGGTAATTACTGGTAAGGCAGCCTGAATTCATTTGACTCATTGAACTGTAGTTACAGAGCAGTTGCAGCTTATGAACCTTCCCTCACCTCACTGTCATTATGAGCTTTCCCCCAGAGAGGCTTTGGATTTGAAGCTGTGCTGTGCCGTCACTGAGATTAAATCATAAATGAAGCCCTGTCTGCTTGTATGATGCAAAAGTTGGATCTTAGTTTTAACCAGCCTGTTTGATCACATATGACAGCATAACTGAGCTGGCTCGGTTCTTCTAAAGTCAACACATCTAATGCAGCTTTTATGTAGGCTTATGTTTTATTCTGTCTGGAGGGTGACGTATATATATGACGTCCCTGTAATGAAGGTTAATTAGGCTTTTTTAGTTGCTTTCTAGCATGCCTTAATGCTCCATCATTTGAAAAACCTCCTGTAGTCTTATAAGTAATATCAGGGAAGCTACTTAAAGCCAGTTTAGTGTCATTTGTGTCGATGACAGCTTAAAGTCCTGCTTAAAGCTACAAAAACATTTAGAAATGAGACTTCAGAGTTTAACAAATGTGATCTGAATACGCATGTTTGCATAGGGGTGAACATAATGAGGCTAAAACATTCCTTCCACAACAGCTCACCTCCGTCCTGGCCTGCGTTGAGGTTTGGGAACATGTGCAGCAGTTCATGGGTTGATCAGGTTAATGCCAGGTTTTAGACAGAGTCCAGAATGAATTCAGAGAGGAGGGAAGTTTATGATCTTAGTTGGTGTGTTTTGGCCCTGGTTTTAACTCTGGTTGCTGTTTGTCTGCAGGGCTAGAGCGATTCGATACCGCCAGCGTAACAGAGAAGCTGTGGGAGGGTTTTTCTCCCAGATTGGGGACCTCTACATGGTCCATCACCTTTGGGGTAAGACAATAAACTACAATATTTCGCCCATTACTGAGTACGCTGGTTAGATGACAAACGAGCGTATTTCTCAGTTGATTCTCTTTTTTTTTAAACACAGAAAAACTGCATTACATCTCTTTACTTATTGAAAAGTTTCATCTAAACTACACAAGTGTAGCCTAAGTAGGATTTTTGACAAAACAAGTATTTGGATAATATCATCATATTGACTCTCAAAAAAGAATTAACCATCAATAAACTTTGTGTCATTAAGAAACCGCAATGAAAAAAAAACAATGTTACATGATGTATAAATGTTATATACACAAACGCCACTGAGACATAATTAAGAACTGTAAAATATAATTAATAACACATTATTAAAAATGTGCTCTAGTTTATCTATCTGTGATGAAAATGGTAGCAAATTAGCATCACTTATCAGCTCCATTGCTGGTTTTGGCAGCAAATAAGTTTCTAATCATGGTGTCTGACAAATTAATATCACAGCAGAGTCTAATCGGTAAGATCATGTTAGGTTTTTAAACTGGAGTCAAAGGGGGATTAAGACAAACGCAGCAGATGGTTAAGGTGCATTTCCTCCTAAAGATCTGATCTAAACGGCTTCTTCCAGATGTGTCACAGCTGCATCTGTCTCGATCCATGTTCATGTATTTATAGTGACCTCTAGTGCCACTTAAGAGGAAAAAAAAACATTTTCTGATCCAGCTTTTTTGCTTTACTTAATAATCATGTACTACAGACTGCCTCTCCAGAACCGGCATAGAAAACACAACCAGACAAGTTATTTCTGTTGGTTTTGATCATTATGGCTTAAATCAAGACTATATCCCTGATGTCGTTTCTCCAAAAATTCTAGAAAAAGGATTTTTAATATTAAGATGTTGGTCTAATAAAGAGGGCACCCATATTCTATACAGAATATTTGATTTGGGATTGTACTGCATCATTTACTGCATCCATGGGGCATTGCATGAAGGTAATCCATCTTTAGCACCACTGAGGTTTTACAATAGCACAGGTTGCTTTCTGACAATTTTACTTCATACGAGGCGGTGTGCTGGGCAGTCCAGCTTGGTGATTTCAGTAGGGCCATTTCTCGATTCCCAAACACGCGAATATTAAGATGTCGGTTCTTGAGAAGAACACAGGAAAGTATGGATTCGGTGAGAACGGGAGCATGCAGCATAAATATGGGTCAATAGAAAGAGAAGCGTACTCGTGACGTCACCACACCCTCTGCTCATCTGGAGCTGCATTTCACCTCCTGTTATTAAGAGTCTCTAGATAACGATAAATTTTTACATTTTTCATATAGTGAATGATAATTAACACCGTCAGATAAACACAAATCAAGTCAAAATTTTGCCAAATAAAACAAAAAAGTCGTCAGAGCCAGCAGTGCTTCACACACGGCTATGGTGAGAGAGGGCTGCTGCAGGCGGGCTAACGTTAGCCCTGGCTACGGTTAGACTCAGGCCCGATATCGCCACTGTCCTCTCACCATCTGAACTTTTTTTTAAATAATGCACTAAATCACTTAATAGGCCATATAGTGTCGCATTTAAGTATAATGTTCTCACCTCAAATGATCTAAAAATGTACTTAAATAGAACAATAGCAACAGAAAATTGAACTTTTAACTTAATACTCTGAGCACTGTGAGCACTCCACTGGAAGCTGCTGCTGCCGCATTGCATGCTGGGACAGCTGTCAATCACGAGAACAGACAAGTCTGCTCCGATGCAAACTCTGTAAAGAGGGAGGGGCGAAAACAACATCCGGGGACTTTGACAAACTTTATTGTAATTTTGTACACACCGTGTATAAAAAACTAAATTACGTTCAGTACACTCAAGACATTTCCATTTCTTTAAGTGCAGCAGTGATAAAATATAAACATGGCGATATGATGTAATTTGTCCATTCTCGTTCTTGTGAATTGGAACAGGGCTAGAGCTGAGGCTGATGATGTTTCACGATCATGAGAACGTACGAGTACACATATTGAGAAACGGCCTAGGTCTCAGTTCTTTTGGGAACAATAGCCGGTAACAAGTCATACTGGAAAATATAAAGCAGTCAACAGAGATTAGAGCTGTCTTGTTCATATATAAATCATTAGGTATCGGAATATATTTATATATCAGTCCTGATCTAGAATCTGATATAAGCTGCTGGTAGAAACACTTCCATTCTTTTAGCTTCAGTTTAAAATAGATCTACCACATTGGTTAATGATAAATGGGTCAGCTGTTCTCATAAACATTGTTGACAATCGTCCTCTGTTTGATTGATATTACCTGATTAATCCTTTTCTTATATGCTAATATAAGAGTGGGGGGGCTTGATTTCCAAATGAAGGACTTTGGACCACTAAGCATCCAGATGCTGTTGTCAGATTCTGGTTCACTCGACAAGCCTCCAAGATTTAAATTATCCCTATTGCTTGCTCAACTGTTTTCTTTTGAACCACGCTTTCCACTAAACGTCAGTATGTTTAAATACAGCACTCTAAGAGATACCAGATTTTTTAGCAAAGATCCCTTCCCTCTTACCTTTGTTGCAGTTGGTATCTGTCAGTGGAGATCCATCAGTCTTAAAGCATTTTTCTGAGAAACATAATCTTGGGATTTCACAGAATTAACTATCAATCTCTTCAGTACTGTGCGTAATGAATCATTAGAGCATAGGTTAAATGTTTGAATGGAAACAAAAACATTTTGTACTGTTTTGATTTGCAGCTTACAAAGACCTTCAGTCTCGGGAAGACACGAGGAACGCCGTCTGGCAACAGGATGGCTGGCATGAAGTGGTTTATTACACTGGTGAGCTAAATAAAGCCCTCTGTTCTTAAATTTTAAAGCAGTGACATTATAACATCGAACCCTTTCACTTATCTCTTTCTGCAGTTCCTCTTATTCAGCACATGGATTCTAGGATCATGATCCCAACAAAAGCTTCTCCGCTGCAGTAAAGGAAGCCGTTTGTTCATTATCACCCATTCTGTGAATCTCTATTATTGGTCCAAACTTCTGTCAGTGGTACCAAACAACAGCCGGGTTTTTGTTTTGATATTTATTTCATAAAACTTCAGGAATTCATTCCTAAACTTCCAAATTAAATCATAATGGATTTAGAAAGTATCAAGGTCACACAGCTGACCTATTTTAGGGAATGAAAGGAACCAAATTGAAACCTCCTGTTAGTCATGTGCGACATCTCGTGCCACATTGAAAGCAGTTTAGAGAAAAACTTGTTTATGGTTTTGGAAGCAACAAAAATTACTTGAAAAAGTGTAAGAGTGGAAAAAATAAAGATGATACTAGTGTTTAAATTCACTGCTCAGTGCAGCTGCCATTTATTTATTTAAATGTTGATACATGGTGTTTAAATGTGTTGATAAAAGTGACTCTGATGTAAGCTGTCATCGCTGATTGAAACATGGGATTTCTATCATTTAAAAAACATACTTCACTGACCTATCCAGATATCAGAATTTTATATTTGCTGTCTGTTACAAACACTCCAGGTTTTGTTGTTCTGTGCTTTTTTTTTTCTTATATTGTTGGCTTTTCCTGGTGCCGTTTTCGTAACTTTTCTTTTCCTGCGGAGACGGCATGCCGGGTTTTAAAATCCGTTTTTAATCAAACATCTAAAGGTGATTTAAAAAAAAAAATAAAAAATGTGGGAACATGCCCTCCATCAGTGATTGAGGGGGATCTGGATGGAGCAATGCTGCTTTCTACTGTATTAATGGCTGATTTAAAGGATCCATGTTTATCACTTTCATTTTAAGCAGAAATATTAGGAGGGGGGAGAAAATAAATAGTTATTCCGACATCCTTTACAGCACTTCCTTGTCTTTATTTTTAACAATCTTTAAAAGATCGAAGTTGCGACTTAGTACTGAACACATTTTTAATAAGGCTCTCATTGCACATGCCAGAATAAAACAGCTACAAGTTTTCAGGTTCCATGTGAAACGTGCAAAAACACTAGTACAATTTTTATGTCCACCCACATGGTGTTTGGTTACTTTTTTAGTACAAAAGATTAGTCTTAAGTTTAAATATGTGTTTTTAGTATAAAAATCTATTGAGTGTCATAAACGCTTGACTGACACACCTTTGGGTGCAAATATAAAAAGGTTAAGTGAGGAACAGAAATCTTCTAGAACATTTAAATCTTCTCCAGCTCCTTCAGCAGCTCATCGAAGCTCGTCACGTACCAGGAACTCCTCTCCTTGACTTGAGCTCTGACGACGTTCCCCCCAAATCCAATAAAAGCGCTCTGTGGGGGGGAAGATTGCAAAAATGTCAAGATGTGTTCTAATGTACTACGGTCTGGGTTGTCACTCCAGCTAAAGATGCACCGACATGTCAGCTGGGTTTTTTTTTAAAGCTCCCCAACTCAGAATTCCAACCTTTTCTATTTTTTATGATCAAAAAGTTTTCTTTATGAGGTTGGAGGAAAGCACAGCTGTTAAATCTCTTTGAGCTTTCAACCTTTAATATGAAAGATGCCTGATGTGAAAGAAACAGGTCAGTTCTATAAAAGTTCCTTTGAAAAATCAAAATTTATCAGCTATTTTAAATAATAAAACTTGTTTGCTGTTTGATTAAATTGAGAAAGAAGCATTTTTATTTTTTCGGTTAAAGAATAAAACGAGCAATAAGTCCCCTTTTTTAATGTATTCTATATAGAAAACAAAGCAGTTTGTGACCAAATTATAGAATACTGTGCATAATTTTTTTTCTTTAAGGGGACATATTTCTAAGTTTATTTGCCCCTAGGTGGTTTGCTAAGAGCCATAATGGAGCTCCACAGCCTCAGGTTGCAGAATCAGGTTTATTGCCATTGTTAGTGAAGGAGTTCACAAACTAGGAATTTTTTGTGGTACAACCGTGCAACATGAAACATATAATATGGAATAGATAAATAAAATTATAAAAATATCTAAAAACTGTGGGTATACGTCATGCAATAAAATAGACTAATATATACACTTAAGATGAAAATATGGATATAAAATATAAAAAGTACCTCTACCTGTGCCAACTGCCATAATTGCATTAAACAAAATGCTAAAGAAATCAACTTTTTGCATGAATGAACCAGGGGACAGGATAATCTTCTCACATAGTGAATGTTGTTCCCATCATATAGAGAGATTATCAACCAGTGAAACTTAAAATCAGCAGGTGAAACATTTCCAGAAATTGGGAACCAGCCACTCAACTCTGAGCAGCGCATCACTAACATGCCAATGCAAATTATTATTTTTTTAATCAAAAGACTTACAGCAGGGGGGCAGGCCTCCAGATCGGTGGCTCCATCTCCAACCATCACCACTGTTTTGAACCCATACTCCTCCTTCAGCATGCTGATCACTCTACCTTTCCCCCCACTCTCAGCTGTGGGTTGAGTTTCATCAAAACCGGCATATTCACCTGTAGATCGAGTTAGAAATTAGAGGAAAAAAAAAAAAAAAAAATCAACATTCTGAAACAAGTTGAGCGTCAAACAGGTTCTTACCATTAAAGTAGAACTTAAGCCTGTTGGCGTAGACGTGATGCAGAGGGATGTTTAGCTGAGAGGCCACATGTTCGACGATACAACGAAAACCACCAGAAATGAGGAACACCTTTATGTTGCGCTCATGCAGACGGTCTACAAGCTCCCTGCATGAAGAGTAACAAAAGCACCTGTGAGCTTCAGGCAGTATGAAAAATAAACAAAAGAAAGAATTTTTTCACTAAAATATTTTCATCCCCTTTATTTAACCTTTTAAGTTCACATGTTGAATCTTTATTTCACAATAAATCGCAGCCTGTAAAGTATTGATAAGAGGGAAAGCTGGCAGCCAGACACGGCTCACAAACTAATGACAGTTTCCACACCTGGAGCATTCAGAGGTTTAGGGCTAACAACCCCAGAGAGAAAAGACATCAAGAATGCCCAGAAGAGACATGCATCTGGCTGTTGTCAGGTTAGTCCCATTTAGCCTCAGGTCAGACCATAAAACCCTGATATATATAGTATAAACACAAAAGGCTTTAACTCCACATTCTCAGTTAGCATGGTAAACATGAAAGGTTATGACATTTATATTAGAAAAGAACAACAAAAGGATGGCTAGTCCTTTTTAATACACTTTATCTTGCAACGCTGCATCTTAATAAGGGGTGGGTGATGTAAAACTAAAATTTTCTACCACTGTATTTTTTTTTTGGTACAATAAAGATCATGATAGAAAACTATTCTAGGGCTGATACAAGGATCATGATTAAATGATTATTAAGATAATCAACTAATTTAGTCATTAACAATCATTAACTGGAGTGTAGAGACTCTAAAATATGCTGGTAACTATAAGAACAACCCAGACAGAGCAGTAATCATACCTAAATTTATTTATTTTATATATATATGTATATATTACATTCAAGATTTTTAAAAAAAGAAGTCAAAATGTTCCATCTAGAATACCTTTGGCGGATTAGTTTTGGCCTCATCTGATTTAAATTCTGCATAGAATCTTTTAAAGGAACCTCTTCCTATGTAATTATTAATCGAAAATATATCAATTAGCTGCAGCCCTAAACTATTCCTTCTGATCTCCCATCTTTTTTAGGCATTCACAAATACTGCACTTGAAAAACAAACCCACTAAAGTTAGGCTTATTCAGGACACCAGTTTCATGAAGAGGTGTGAATTTGATCAATAAACTGCACAAAGTAAATGCATTCAGTCATATTGTGAACTGAATTTGCTCTAATGGAACAAACAATGGACAAAAGGGTATAAATCTGCAAATGTGGTTCTCTATTTTGAGTTTCCAAACAACAATAATCTTAGTGTTTTATGAATCTATCTTGAAAGCGGATTTATCCGTATAACAATAAACAATGCAATAAATGTCCATCCATAATTTGAATGAACCACTAGTCTAGAACAGGGTTCTTCAACGTTTTCCAGGCCAAGGGCCCCCAAACTGATGGCAGGAGCGAGGACCGTATAATTATATATATTGTATGAAATTGTGTTATATGAAACTGGTCCTATAGTCACTCTATAACAAATGGAGTAATGTAATGAAAGTAATTTCTTTCTGGGATTATTAAAGTATTTCTGATTCTGATTCCTCGTTGATGACACAGGTGTTGTAAATGAAACGGTGCCCAGCTTGAAAGAGCTCCTGTGTGTCGCTGAATGTGTGCATTGATGACTGAAAGACATCTTCTGCCTCCATTTATCTGTTTACTACAGCATGTTGAATTCGTGTTAATGTGTATTTAAAGACATTTCAATTAGAGGAAAAAAATGCAGAGGGAAATATAAAAAAAAAAACTAATCAATCAAAACTTTTGTGACCCCCATGCAGTACCTTCATGGACCCCCTAGGGGTCGCGGACCCCCTGTTGAAGACCTCCGATCTAGAACAATGTCCTCAGGACAGAGGAGACAAAAGTAGAGATGTGTGGAGGAAACCACATCCACTGTCTAAGCCAAAAGTTTTTTTTTAGAAAATGTCAAAAAATGAAGTTTGTTCTGTAGGCACAAAATTAGGACACCTTGGAGTCAATGACTGAACATGAACTCCTCTACATACGTAGGGACCTTAAGAGTGATGATAAGGCAATTTGTCAGACAACTAAAGCTTTCTAAAGCTATGCCCCAGTCAGAATCCAGATATTTACCTGATTTAAATGCTTTGGTGGGACCTTAAGAGAGCTGAGCTGAAACTAGTTAGTATATCAAGTAGCTGGTGTTTGAGGTACCTCAGTTACAGTTAAGGTTTATTTCTAGTGGGTATTTAGATCTGCATAAAAGAAAATATTTCACAATCTTATTACACATGTATTACCTCATAATTTTAAAGTTTAGTATCCCAATTACTGATGTTGTCCAAGAAAGAAGCCAAATAAGGGCTAATATTACATGGATCAGGTTTATGAAAACCATACTTAAAAAAAAAAATCTATATTGAACTAAGAAACAGAAAACAACAAGACAAAAGTGACATAATATCCAGACTAGATGAAGACATATAACATCTAATGTGGTCTTTACACTTGGAGGCAATGTTTCTGCATGCAGTGCACAACAAAACCTGTAGAGTATTGATTTACTTTATCCGACTCTCTCCGCACACTTACTTTATGCCTGGCGTCAGCTGAGGTGGGTGATCAGTTATTAGTTTGTTTACTTGTTCTCTGGAACATCGGATGATGGAAAGTCGTTCAGTAAGGGCCTTCTTAAACGTCATCGAGCCTCCCATGGCTTTACAAGTCCTGAAATGTGAAGGGATATTTGACTCCATACTGATCACGGGATACCATATGGAAAAACAATAACTGAATACAGGAATGTGTTTGTGTTAAAGGCAGTATGTGAAGAGATAATAGTACCATGCAAAAATATTGGGATCAATTGTGAAGTTGAAGGAAAAGGATACGTGGTTTAAAAAAAAACCTCCTTTACTCTAATGCCTATAAATAAACTCCTGCTCAAGTTATGGATACCTGATTAGGCAGATGGTAAAAAGGATGCAAATAGCTGAAAGCGGGCCATGAAAGGTCCCATCTACAGTTCTCCATATCCCTTGAGGAGGACAGGTTGAACATGTAAAAAGAAAAGGAAAAGCAAACTTATGTCTCTGGCCTAGATGTAAAAATGTGTGGTAAAAATATAACAATCTATTACTCAAACAATCCTACAGAAAACCATGGTGATGCCATTGGGTTACCTTACTTTGGCTGGGAGGATAAAAACCAGAAAGAAAAATCATATAATAATTTCCTTCCATTTCACAAAAATGCACTATTTTGTGACCTGAGTGAAGTTGATGCCCCAACCTTCTTCAAATCAGACAAAATTGGTGCTACGTTTGTGCTGGTTTGTGCAGCAAAAATTTTCGTTTGTGCCGCTCTCATTTTAAAGATATAAAGAAATGTCTCTAGAGGTCATCAAAACTCAACCCCCCCACCCCACCTTCTTCAAATCAGACGAAATGGGTGTCAATTAACTCGACTCCATTTGTGCTGATTTGTGCAGCAAAAATTGTCGTTTGTACTGCTTTGGCCTTGAAGATTAAAGGTCAACCAACCCCAAACCCCCACCCCCCACCACCACTTTTATGAAATGAGAAAAAAATGGTGACAATCACCTGGATGGCCATGTCCACCCTTAGCAAATCATTGCCCCCCGCCCCCTGTGGCCACCCCTACCATTTTTCCCTCTAACGCAGAAAGTGGCAGCAGTAATACTCTGAAGGGGAATGTTCAGACTTATTCAACATTTAAATTTTTCATATATTAACAATTACTTTACTACAGAAACACTGTGGTTAATTCACATGCACATCAATGTACTAACATTAAAGATGACAAATACAGAATTCAAGTCTCTCTGCAAGTCATGTAGGAGTCTTCAATGAAATCAGAGATAAATAGCTACTTTAATAATAACTTCAACATTTATTAAATGTGAATAGTAGTACATGTAAATATCAATTTTTTGCAGAATGACTATTGATAAAAGTAGGTAATGACAATATAAAAGATGTTTGCCCCAGAACTTAAACCTGACATAATTCTGTCCACTATACCTTTAATCTAGACAGTGTGGATGTTTAAATATATGTGTTTATTTGTGAGCAAAGGCTGTAGGAAAGTATAGTAAGTCTTTATTTAGAAAACATGGATGTTGTGGTTGTTCCTGTTGGAACAGTGTAGATTGACCCTGAGGTTCTGGGGTCTTCCAGCCACCCCTAAATGCACATTGGTTATTAACTGGCCACCCCTTTGAGGATTTTCTGGGTACACCTCTGATTTGTGCTCCTATCATTCTAAAGATATAAAGAAAAAATGTCCAGGGGTCATCAGAGGTCAACCACTATCTTTAAAATGATAGCGGCACAAATGGAAATTTTTGCTGCACAAATGTTTGACACCAATTTTGTCTGATTTGAAGAAGGCGGGGAGGGCAACTTCACTCAGGTTATTTACTGTTGGGTTATCACATGATGACCCAGCATTTATTAATTACCCCTACTGTAGAACGGCAGAGTGTGGTGCAAAAGTTATAGAGACAGAAGATAAAAGTGCATGATAAGTGGTTCACCTACATTTCTCTGACTGCATCCCCCACACCACAGAACTTGGCGAGTTCATCGATGCCTTCCTCTTTGATGACTGTGCTGTCCACATCAAAGCACACAGCATCTGCTCTCCTGAACAGCTCCTTTGTCTCCTGTATGGTTGTCATCATGCTGAGGAGGGGGGGCAAATTCAACATGAGATCAGCAATGGTGCTATTAAGTCTGACAATTCAGACCAAGGATGTCAGGTGACATGAAGAGCTAACACAGGCAGGACTGTTGTGTTGTTGGTTTAAGGGGACATCTCTTACGCCTGATTTCACCTTGCATGCAGAGGATGTATTTTATCCATTGGAGCAAAAAAAAAAAAAAAAAACGCAGATATTCACTGAAATACCTACGTGCAAACCGTATGTGCTGGTTTGAAATTTAATAACAAGTCTACAAAGTCTCTAATAATAATATAAGGTAGTGTGTTGATGGATGGTCATCCTTGGTCACTGTTGCATCACCCCAATGCGGCAGGCAGTAGACTGTTGACACTGTAACCCGCATCCAAGCAGAAAGGGATAAAAACACATGGAAGCTCTTCTTATGTAACATACCCACAGCTTAGTCTAAAGCGAGTGGAATGTCACGCGATTTGTAGAACCGACGGTTGACTTTACTTACCCCCTTATAGTGCAACTGTCAGCAGTAATAAACTGTTTACCCTGCAGCACAACACTATACTCGTCAAGAATCTGGAATATTGCGTTGTTTCTCCATACATACCGAATAAGAAGAGAGTTGATAAGGCACAGGCGGGCTGGTCGTTTTAACATGAGCCGACTAGAGCGCTTTCAATGGGCTCACCGATGAAGAAGAGACGAGGCAAACGGGCGACCAATCAGAGCGGAGCCCCGAAGGTTCCCGCCTACTCACGCGCTGGCTCGCTGCCATGGCGACCTTAACGGTTAGACACTAGACTTTAGCAAAGATGGGGAAAAATAGTAAGTTATGAAATATTTTAGCTAAGTAATCAAAGAAAGTAAGCAGAAGAAACTCAAATAAGGTTAAAATAAACAAATTCATATTCAAATTTGCTGAGTTTTTGTTTTTTTGTTTTTAAGAACAACAGCAGTTTTGTTAGTAAAGTTTGAATTTCATTGAACTTTTGTAAACATCATTGTGTGCTTTATAGGTATTTAAAATTACAATAAACATTTTCATTTAAAACATTAACTGTACTTTTTTTTATTCTAAGCACGTTTGGAAAGCCAACTGTAGAGGAGTACTTGTGGAAATTTCCACTGAAACCAGCTCAAATAGTGAGCAGGAAGGATATGTAAATCTCCCTAATCAGGCGTAACAACACCATAAAGAATGTAGAAAAGATAGATAGAAAGAAAATAAAGCAATAACAAAACAAGCTAAATACTGAAAAAACAGGGCCATAACCAGGTTTTTTGAAATACCGAGGTCAAATATTGCGATAAATCCTACTTGACAAAAAAAAAACATCCTGACTTTTTAAAATATATTTTGGAAGTTAAATCACAAGCCCATCAAGGAGTGGAATATGAACATCTGTTTTATAATCATTCCAAAACTCACAAAATAGAGAATTTGAGTGAGTGAGAGAATGAATGTGAGTGAGTGAGTGAGTGAGTGAGTGAGTGAGTGAGTGAGTGAGTGAGTGAGTGAGTGAGATAATGAATGTGAGTGAGTGAGTGAGTGAGTGAG